GGAACCCAAATCTCGACTGAGGATGAGAGCCAAGTCGTCAACTGTCAATCTGCACAGCAAACTCCAGATACCAGTCCCAGACTACGACCATGATGTCTTTTCCAGTCTTGTTAACTTCTTACACTCGGGTCGAGTTCGAGTACAACTAGGGACAGTCACAGGTAAGCAGTAAATGTGTTTGAGGAAGAAAAAAGGTTTCTGCTTATGACATTCGATATTGAATCATTTACCCCTTTTCTATAATAAACAGTAATATCAACACTGATTTATAAAAGGTTATTATACATAACATCACCATATCAATGGCTGCTTCTTATTTGTACAGGTTTATTCTGTGCTGCCATAGAATTTGGACTAAAAGATTTGCAGAAGGCATGCTGGGACTTCTTGAAACGGTGTGAAGGTGAAGATCAGAAGAAGGCTTTGATGGCGTCAACACAACACTATCTTAAGAAGAAGGGAGCTCAGAAAATATTATCCCAATTGTGCATGTTATGATTATTTGAGGTCCGTAATTGCTTTGGCTTCCTAAAATATTTCTCTTGGACGCAGTCAAACTGTGGAACCATTAGTGCTTCAATATACATTTTCAACGACTGACCATTGGCTGGCATTCCGATGGCCAGAACGGAAACTGATGTCACTTCCTATTGATTGTTTGCTGACGCACAATGCCAGAGATCGAGATCCCTAATCTAACTTACACAAGCGAGAAAATGAGGTAGTGACTTGGATTGAATGCTCCTTTAAATAGTGTGTCAGTTATTCTTCCGTGTGTCAGCTTTGTGAGGAAGGAAAGATTGAATCGACGCAGAGAATGTGCCTGAAAGGAATATTATCGGAACGAAACTACGACCAGAGAGTCCTCTCACGTCTGAAGCAGGTAACACTGTATAGAGAATTATAGCAGAAATATTACTGTGTAATACTGCTTAATATCATAAGTCTGTTAGATTGTACATGTGCTATATATGTATTGTTATCCCTATATGGGAGTTGTTCAAAACTGTTGTTTCCTGTTGTCAAATACCAATAAATATTAAATCTAGTCATGATCCCGTGTTTTCTGTCTGATGTTCCATTTCAGGAAGAGCTGGTGTCAATATTGTCTAGTTATTCTATTTAGTGTGACAGTTTGACAGTCTTCGGGAAACGAAATATTTTTTTAATTTTCTTTATTTTTTGGCCAGAGTTTATTATCACATCTTGAAGCTACTACTTTATAATTGGCCCTTACATGCCTACGTGGCTGAAGGTAACTAGGGCTTTGTTTGTTCCGATTGTTAAAAGCTGATTTCCATGTAAGAGAAAGTGGAAAGAAAAATAGTAGAAATGGAGGAATATTACAGAAGTAAGAAAAGGGTAGTGGTATATGAGAAAGTGATAAGTTTATCAAGCATGGTGCTACTCAACGATAGGATTGTCGCCAAAAAGTGTATCCCATTTGGACAGAGCAAATATTTACATTTTACACATTGCATGCATATAAAATACCGACAAAAGATCATTATGTCCAGGGTTGGAGATATTCTCTATTTTAAACAAACCCGCTACAATATATAGTACAGCATTATCAGTCAACCTTATCTTATCTGACATGCGTCGACTTTTGTAACTGCATTACCGAAAATCTGCAATTTATCTCACCGTTCATCATTTCGAAATGATTAAACATGTTCGATCAGTTCCTTGTTCCGAAGTGCATGTATCTCATCAAATAACAGATATAAAACGAACATCTCATGTTGTGACTAAATACGAAAATATTTACAGACACAACAATTTTAATTTTAACGTTGTGAAGGTGAAGATTAGAAGAGGGCTTTGATGACGTCAACACAACAGTATCTTAAGAAGAAGGGAGCTCAGAAAATCTTGACCCGTGTTTGAGTGTTGTGATTATTAGAGGTCGGTGATTGCTCTGACTTCCTAAAATATTTCTCTTGGACACATTCGCACTCTGTAACCATTAGTGCTTCAATAGACATGTTTTGTCACTGGCCTTTTGATAGCATCCCGATGGCTCGGGTAAAGCTGATCACACTGAAAACTCACAGATCTTCTATTTGTTATATTGTTGTCATTATATGGGTGTTGCCCAGTTTTTCCTGTTATGAAAAGTAAAATTAATAAAAATGAAATCTTGTCATGATCCTGTGTTGTCTGTCTAATATTCTATTTCAGGAACATCTGGTGTCAATATTATCCATAGTTTCTATGTGGTGTGAACGTTTGACGTTTATCAGGAAACGAGATATTTTCATTTTACACATTGCATGCGTATAAAATACAGACAAGCGATCATTATGTCAAGAGTTGACATTCTTTAATTAAAGCAGCTACAATAAAAGGTACAGCACTATCAGTTAACCGTATCTCATCTAATATGGGTCATCCTATGTACTGCAACATTTTTCCGAAGCTAGGGCGTTAATTGACTGTAAAAGATTAGTTTCCACCCGGGCCGAACTTGGCTGGAATTACTTGGCTCGAACGTAGCGTTACCAGTGGCTATTACGAGTTATGTCCCTTCTATGTCCCTTCTGTGGACCAATCGGATTCCACCTATCATATCACTTATATTTGCTTCAAACAAAATGTCGGCGCCCAGTCAAGACGATCTGAGCGATAATCGAAATGTATATTGTAATAAAACGGGTCTTACTGCGCGAAGTGATTCAAATCCTGTGAGCACCTTGATTAAAAAAAATATCTGTTGACGCTGATTTGGTGGTACACATGCTTTGCAAGCTACCGAATTATGTGGCAGTTTACGAACCGGATGTCGACTTCGTTCGTTACGCGATTTTGATTGGACTATGCACAGATAGAATTGATCTTCAGCAACCTATGCTGGTCGTTAGAGGCGACTAACGAGATCGTATGATCAAGCTCGCTGACTTGGTTGATGCATGTCATCGTAATCCAACTGGGTAGATGCTCATGATTTGCTTATGATGTCATTCACTGGATTGTCTGGTCCAGACTCGATTATGTAAAGACAGCTGGGATATTAGTGTGGCGTTAAACAACAAACAAACATGTCGGTTCTGTGTCAGTTCCCCTTGTCCGGCAAATGCTGATGTTATTGGACATGACTTAAGCCACGGGGAAACATTGAGTAAAAACAACACATTTAAATTCTTTGGGACAGCTGGTTTTACCTCGCCTAGAGCAGTATTTTATTAACGGCAAGATGTAAGCGGACAGTGATGAAGTGTTGAGAGGATGCACGTCTGTCACTTTCAGGAACCCGAAAGCATCGGTATGGTGCCAAGAAACCAACGATCATAATCAGGGCGAAGCTGGGTTTCGATCCTCCGATCCAGGCACGACCGAAAACGCAGATCTGCATAGCACAGTGAGGCGCCTAAGCACTGGATCACCTTGTTCGCCCGTGGGAGTTTGTTTGAGATAAATGGATGGATACACAAACACTTGACATGCCTGTGTTGAGCGTTTACCTAATTTGAATGACGCATCGTTGTACCAGGACGGAAAACATTTGCATTGTGTAGATCAAAAAGTTTTAAATTTCAGATTTTCAAGGGTTCTTTGTTTGACATAATCTGGTCGTCACATATAGGGTGCCTGTATAAACGTGTCCCGGATTTAACATGCTTACGTTGTGTGTATATATTACCATGTACATCCGTACTACACACAGAGGTGCTTGCGTTTCCATATGGTTTTCCGCTGCACGGCCTTCATAATTGCACTTCTACTGTCGTTGATTTGAACTGAAGCCGCGCGCATGCGGAAGAAATTAAAGCGTCAACTGTGCCTGTGGATCCTGATATTTTCATCGAAAACAATTGCCTCGTGTGAAATGATGCAACATGATAAATGTGGTTTTACGTCAGTATTAAAGATTTTCAAAAGGGAGAGGTGAGATTAAATGGAATTCAACGTCGCGTCCAAGACATTTGCACTTTTATAGCGATGCGCATGCACATGTGTGTATGGCTACTTGTACTAGTCCGGATTAATGCCGTTTTTATAGTACTAGCTCAGTGAAATACCATGCCGCAGTGTTAACATGAATACCCACTCTCACACAGTATACTGACTCCGAGCCGACCAGTCCTTGTTTTAGCCCCTTTATGCTGAGGGGCAGGCAAGATAACAAAAAGTACCAAATCTTAACGTCTTTTGGTATGACGCGGGCGGGGCGGACGCTCTACAACTTGACCACGGAGGCGGTCCCCAAAAGGAGAGAGAGAATAGGTAGAAACGAGAGAGTGCGTGCGTGCATACGTGAGTGAGTGTGTGCGTGCGTATGTGCGTGCGGATGTGCGTGTGCATGTGCGTGTTTGAGTGGATGGGGATGGAGGTAATTTTGGATATATACTATCACGATGAGTACAGAGCATATTCCCATATATTGAATTGAAACTGAGCCAGAATGTACATACTAACTACAAGGCAACCCCCTTGTCGTACAGTGACACCCTCTAGAGACACAAAAGACTGGAAACTCTAGACGCTCGCTGTTGAGAATGCCTAGTATGCATAACTAACAGGATGCAATGTAACAACGTAGAGAAGAGTTTATACAGAGTAACCAGTGTCCCTTGCTTGATAAAGGTACAATTATCTGTAACGAAACAATTCATGTAACAGATAAAAGAAAGTTGAAATCCGTAAGTCAAACCAGCCCTCACTGAATCTAGTCCCAATATGGATTCTTCCCAATCCTGAAGTCATGGTGGATTGACGAGAGTGGATTGGCTGCATGTGTGCATTAAAGGTCCAATCTTTAGAGATAATAATTATGCTAGTTGTAGAGAGTATATATTTAAAAGGGTTAAAAACAATCCACTCACATGCGAACGTTTTTGACTATATAAATATAACAGTAAAACTTGTAACATTTCCAAAACTTCATAAAAGAGAAAAGAAAATGACGTTCCAGAGAAGTGTTTATATAGAGTAACCAGTGTTGTCAACACGGAACTTAGATGTAGATCCTTCAACGAGATATCAAGACACGTGACCCAGGCCTCCCCATCCCATGACGACGTTACTATCTTATATAAGGGTCTTCATCCATCCACGGCTTATCTCTGAAACAGGACTCGTGTGAAGGTAAGTGTCCCAGGTTTATGGGTTGCGATACACAGTCTTGTCAAACAAAGAACGGAACACTGGTCCCGTGGACGGACACTTCAGGGGGTTTCATAACCTGTTCGTAACATTATCAAATGAAATGGTTACGGCATCGGTATGATGGTGAACTTCAAGCGTTATATAGGAGACTATGCTTTGTTTGAAATGACACACATGGATGCTTGTAGCTCATAAAACTTTCAGTTTAAATCTGACCACGTTATATAATCTGGGTTTGTTAATGGCTTTATATATTACCCAAGACCCCTTCCATTACTACTTAAGTTTTCGGGTAAATATAATACTATTCTATAGCTGCAAATACATTTGATGATTTATCTGTGACGCTTTAGTTCACTTTGAACGCCCGGACCAAGTTGCACCAAACACTTGTGACAGAGCCTTTGTTGAGATTATAGAAGAAATAGGCCTTCATTTTAACAGACTAGTACGTTTGAGATACGATGTACTGTTCCTTATAAAGTGGTAATTGTGTAGATGAAAGATTGTTCTATATAACGTAAATACCTCCATGGCACAATGTACATGTTTTAGTTCATTTTGACATCCCCAGGCAAATCGGACCAAAACTTGTGATAGAGATATTGACAAACGGGTATCACTTTAACCAAGGTGATTGCTTCAAATACAACGAACTGTAACCTCATAATGTGGTCTTTAGGTAGAAGTAATGCTATTACAGGAGAGCTAAGATGAGTGAATGAGTGAGTTTGGTCTAACGCCGCTTTTAACAGTATTCAAGTTATATCATGGCGTGTCAACTTAATGTGGGAGGAAAGCCCGAAGTGATGCAGGTTTCAGACGTTTACCACGTCGGTGAAAACGACGAGCATGGGTTTGGTGCTGACAAACCTAGAAACACAATTGGGACGAACCGGGATTCGGACACACAATCATAGGTTTCTGGCGTGTCCAACGGGACGCAACTCTGCACAGAGCAAAGATGAAATGGGGTATAACGTTGCGTTTAAGATTATTCCAATATATTTGACGTGATATGATACGGTGAACCCTCCCCAGTGTATACACAATGATAACTGAATTTGAGTATCATCATCAGACTTGATATAACAAAAGTTCACGAATCCCTGGTATTTACCAGATTGTCAGTTGTATTGTACATTGACGTACGCGTGTAGCTGTCGTGTTATTATCTGTGTCCCAATCCCAACCCGCTCACACACACACACTTAAGGTATGTGGGGATCTCGGCTGTGTGTGTAGGTAGGATACCCAGGTATTTCATAATGGCAAGCCCCAGGTTTAATGGCGGTAAATGACAATCTTATGGTCGTAGACGGTATGTGTAATTTCCATTCCGACAGTGGGGAAATTATGACCTTTAATGTGTATGAGTATGTGAAGACCACTAAGCGCAGTAGCCCATCACGTTGCTCAGTTCAACATTTGATGAAAACATGCATTTATTACAATGAAACGCAAACAAAGAAAGACTCTCAGCTGGAAGGCACTATGTCGAGACGTAAACATCCTGCAGAACCCCCAGCTAGAAGGCACAATGTCGTCACGTATGCATGCTGCAGGACTGTCAGCTAGAAGGCACTATGTCGTTGCGTATACATCCTGCAGAACTGTCAGCTAGAAGGCACTATGTCGTCACGTATGCTTGCTTCAGGACCCTCAGCTAGAAGGCACAGTGTCGTCACGTATACATGCTTCAGGACTGTCAGCTAGAAAGCACTGTGTCGTTACGTACACATGCTGCAGGACTGTCAGCTAGAGGGCACTATGTCGTCACGTATACGTCCTGTAGGACTGTCATCTCGAAGGCACTGTGTCGTCACGTATACATGCTTCAGGACTGTCAGCTAGAAGACACTGTGTCGTCACGTACACGTCCTGTAGGACTGTCATCTCGAAGGCACTGTGTCGTCACGTGTACATGCTGCAGGACTGTCAGCTAGAAGGCACTGTGTCGTCACGTATACATGCTTCAGGACCCTCAGCTAGAAGACACTGTGTCGTCACGTACACGTCCTGTAGGACTGTCATCTCGAAGGCACTGTGTCGTCACGTGTACATGCTGCAGGACTGTCAGCTAGAATGCACTGTGTCGTCACGTATACATGCTTCAGGACTGTCAGCTAGAAGGCACCATGTCGTCACGTATGCATCCTGCAGAACCCTCAGCTGGAAGGCACCATCTCGTCACGTATACATGCTGCAGGACTGTCAGATAGAAGGCACAATGTCGTCGCGTATTCATCCTGCAGGACCCTCAGCTGGAAGGCACTGTGTCGTCACGTATACATGCTTCAGGACTGTCAGCTAGAAGGCACTGTGTCGTCACGTATACATGCTTCAGGACCCTCAGCTAGAAGGCACCATGTCGTCACGTATACATGCTCAGGACTGTCAGCTAGAAGGCACCATGTCGTCACGTATGCATCCTGCAGGACCCTCAGCTAGAAGGCACCATGTCGTCACGTATACATCCTGCAGGACCCTCAGCTAGAAGGCACTATGTCGTCACGTATACTAAATTCAGGACTGTCAGCTAGAAGGCACTATGTCGTCACGTATGCATCCTGCAGGACCCTCATCTAGAAGGCACTATGTCGTCACGTATACATCCTGCAGGACCCTCAGCTAGAAGGCACCATGTCGTCACGTATACATGCTTCAGGACTGTCAGCTAGAAGGCACCATGTCGTCACGTATGCATCCTGCAGGACCCTCAGCTAGAAGGCACCATGTCGTCACGTATACATCCTGCAGGACCCTCAGCTAGAAGGCACTGTGTCGTCACGTATACTTCCTGCAGGACCCTCAGCTAGAAGGCACTGTGTCGTCACGTATACATGCTTCAGGACCCTCAGATAGAAGGCACAATGTCGTCACGTATACATGCTTCAGGGCCCTCAGATAGAAGGCACAATGTCGTCACGTATACATGCTTCAGGACTGTCAGCTAGAAGGCACTATGTCGTCGCGTATTCATCCTGCAGGACCCTCAGCTGGAAGACACTGTGTCGTCACGTATACATGCTGCAGGACCCTCAGCTAGAAGGCACTGTGTCGTCACGTATACATGCTTCAAGACTGTCAGCTAGAAGGCACTGTGTCGTCACGTATACATGCTTATGGACCCTCAGCTAGAAGGCACCATGTCGTCACGTATACATGCTCAGGACTGTCAGCTAGAAGGCACCATGTCGTCACGTATGCATCCTGCAGGACCCTCATCTAGAAGGCACCATGTCGTCACGTATACATCCTGCAGGACCCTCAGCTAGAAGGCACCATGTCGTCACGTATACATGCTTCAGGACTGTCAGCTAGAAGGCACCATGTCGTCACGTATGCATCCTGCAGGACCCTAAGCTAGAAGGCACCATGTCGTCACGTATACTTCCTGCAGGACCCTCAGCTAGAAGGCACTGTGTCGTCACGTATACATGCTTCAGGACCCTCAGATAGAAGGCACAATGTCGTCACGTATACATCCTTCAGGGCCCTCAGATAGAAGGCACAATGTCGTCACGTATACATGCTTCAGGACTGTCAGCTAGAAGGCACTATGTCGTCACGTATACATGCTGCAGGACCCTCAGCTGGAAGGCACAATGTCGTCACGTATACATGCTTCAGGACTGTCAGCTGGAAGACACTGTGTCGTCACGTATGCGTATCTCTTTACGTTTATAGTTATAGGACGTGTTTCTTTATGAATGTTCGTCATAACGGTAAAACAATATTAACATTTTAAATGTTTGCATACAAGACACACTTACTGACAATTGTTATTGAAAAACCTGGTTGTATTTTTGCAGATGTTGCGTTTTGGTGTGGTTCTCATACTCCTTGTTTCCATTCACTGTTCGCGTATTGAACTCGACCAGGAATGGGAACGTTTTAAATCACAGTACCAGAAAGCATACAGCCATAACGAGGAAGTCGATAGGTGAGTGGTGGTGAAGTATCTTTCAATACTATTATTTTTAAAAATTCAAATGTATTTTTTAAAAAGACGACAGGCAATACTCCTCCCTTAATGATATCATATTCCTGTGTATGTGTGTTTAAAATGACCATGTGCTGTGGGCATGTGTTAATCAGGCGAATATGTGTTGTGTTTCAGATAACCATGTGTCGTATGTTTGTTTCAGGCGAGCCATATGGGAAAACAATGTTGGAGTGATACAACGCCACAACCTGGAGGCGGACCTGGGGCAGCACAACTACAGACTCGGACAAAACAAATATGCTGACATGGTAAGATTCAAGATCTCAAGTGGTCACACAAAGTCTGCATACTGTCAAGATGTATTAATTTTGTGTATAAAGAAACACACAACATGAATTTATTTTGTCATATTGTCAACAGTATATTCCATACTGTGCATACATGACCAAAATAATGTACGGTGCAATTCCCTATTAAAATACCAATATACTAAACTCAATAAAAAGAGGTATCGAGTGATGGTAATGGAAGGAGAAGATTGAAGGATAAGGTGTAATATGTATCAGCATGTAAGAAACACGACAAGGGGGTGCATGTGTAGTAAAAAAATAATGTTTAAGATGACTAGATTAATAATGGGTTATGTCCCCATCATTGGTCAAACAATGGCAATTAAAGGGAATCTTGTCCACTCCTCGTGCAGTGCCTGGTCCAGTTCGGCTACCGTATCTGGTGGCCTTTACACATGTCCTGATCATATCCCAGGAGTTTTTGGGGGACAGATCAGAACTCTGGGGTCAGTTACGATACGTGCATGTTGGGCACGGGCGATGTCGTCTTGAAAGACAACACGTGGTCGCCTGGCATACAGATTAAACAGTTACTTCTAATTGGCTGATCAGTTACTTGAACTCCGGTGGCGCAAGTGAACAAATATTTGATTGAGTGCTTGAGCATTAATTGTTTTCAGATCAGTCGGTTCTGGACTTGCAGAAACTATTCCAAAGGTTTGCAACTCACACACTGAACACATTAGCTACCTCTCACTGAGTTCTACTAGTTTGAAGCATGCCTTAGGCGTTCATCACGTTGTAGATGACGTATTCCCAATATGATCACAAATACTGCATTAAAGCAAGATCAGAGAGCATGCGTGTTGGGATGGATAATAAAAAAACGAGTACTAATGGCTGAGAGCAATTTGACGACCTTTCACTGAAGTGTCACAATCAAGTACAACCTCTACCCACGTGAATGGAGGAATTGCATGGTCCACGTGCAATGTTTCGGATGTGTTGGGGCGTTAGGTTTTGGTTGAGAAACCGTTCCCTGGCAGTCGCTTTTCAAAACTGACACCTGACCATAACGTTATATTTCATGATCCCCTACTTTTGTTGCAAAATATATATTTCCTTGTTTGTTCAGGTCAACAATTGCCTTCGCATTTGTTTGTGACGGATTTTCCGCGAACACCTGGTATTATCACTTTTGGATACTGATTAATAAACACATGCTTAAAATACAGTAGGAATCGTACAGTGGAGTCTACCTTGAGCAGAGAGGCCTTATAATTATGGAAAGGGTTTTGTAGATTTTATTTTTTTAATGTATTCCTACATTTGGCAATGTAACAGTTAAATCATTTTCAGCAGCTTGAAGCCCTCTGAACATTTATAAACTCATTCGTATTTCGACATCAGCGCAGTGCCACTATTTGGCCCTTGGATGTTGACCTTGACTGGGCGTTCTGGACATTGAGTTAATGAAGATTGAGTTTCACTGAAGTCTGTATCTTTAGTCCATTATCTGTTTCGGGGGCACGGATGGCCCAGTCGTCTGAGGCGCCGCGATTCTCCGTGCAGAGTTGCGTCCCTTGGGCACGCCAGGAACCTATGATTGTGGGTTAGAATCCCGGTTCGCCCCGACTATGTTTCTAGGTTTGGCAGCACCATACCCGTGGTCGTGGGTTTCACCAAAGTGGTAAACGTCTGAGACCAGCATCTCTTCGGACTTTCCTCCCACATTAAGCTGACACACCGTGATATAACTGGAATACTGTTAAAAGTGGCGTTAAACCAAACTCACTCACTCACTCACTCACTCACTTACTCACTCACTCACTCACTTACTCATTATCTGTTTCAGTCTCACGAGGAGTTTCTACAACTGATGACAGGTTACAAGATTCGGAACGGTCCGTCTCCGCGTGTCCTGAATGTCAGCTTCTCGGACTTGCCGGACACAGTGGACTGGCGGACAGACGGATACGTCACGCGCGTCAAGGATCAGGTCAGTCAGGACGAGTCTCTGTTCGAGCAAATGGGGCAGGACGTCACTCTTTAGGAAACATTACTCAATGGATGGTCATGAGACTGCACTGTCACTCTTTTAATGATCAATGATTAAGATGAGGTGAGGAGAAATGGGGTTTAACGTCGCGTCAAAGATAATTGCACTTATATAGCGACTCGCATGCACATGTATGTGTGGCTGCTTGTACTAGTCCAGACTGATGCCGATTCTATAGTGCTAGCCCACTGAGATACCATGGCGCAGTTTAACATGAATACCCCACTCAGACATAGTATACAGTCCTTGTTTTAGCCCCTTAATGCCGAGCGCCAGACAGGGTAACAACAAGTACCATATTTTAACGTCTTTTGGTATGACGCGACCGGGGATCGACCCCGGGCCTTCCGCTCTCCGGGCGGACGCTCTACCACTAGACTACTGAGGCGGTCACAATGATTAAGATGTATTTGTTCTCAATGGAGTATCTTTAGGAACTGTGTATGAATACTATGTTTGAGTGAACCGCCCCAAGTCATCTTCCCGGGGCAAGGGAGTTAACTGATTATAATATTCCACTCTTTCCGCCCTTGCCGAACTAGGCTTGAATTATGGAGAAATTTTATCTTGGCCGGACTAATGAGTCTATTCATAGTCCAATCAAATTCGCGTAACGAATATCGACATCCGGTTCGTACAATGAGTTCATATTTCGGTCGATTGCAGGAATTGCAATGCATGTTTACCCTCAACTTAGCTTCAACAGATATTTTTTTCAAATCCATGTTCTTAATCAAGGTGCTCACGTGATTTGATTCACTTCGCAAATTAAGGCCCGTTTTATTGCAAAATAGATCTTGATTATCGATCAGATCGTCTTCACTGGGCGTCTCCATTTTACTTACAGCAAATGCAAGTGATTTGATAGTTGGAATCAGATTGGTCAATAGGAGGGACATAGAAGGGACATAACTCGTAATAGCCACTGGTGGCCCTACAATCGAGCCCAGAAATTTCAGTCTAGTTCGGCAAGAGGGAAAATTGGACTTTTATATTCACTTAATTCCCTTGCCTCTGAAAGATGCCCCATGTATCATATAGTGCCAACCATAGTTACAACCACGTTTGCCTACAGGAACTCCAACACATCGGGAAAGCTCTGCCTAAACTTAACGGGCACGTCACGAAATAATTTAATGATCAAGCATTTATTGCACCTATGTATGGCGCTTGAAAGTAGTTTTTGCCGAGTGACCTCATTTGCATATTTATTGGATCGGTTTATCGCATCGATAACACTGTCCATTATATGATAATTTCGTTGTATGTCTTGAAGCAGTGACCGATAAAAAAATGTTCAATCTCTAACAAAATGCCACGTGATCTTGAAAGGTTAATTTCATCATTTCTGTACGCAGGCTGCGTGTGGAGCGTGCTGGGCGTTCGCTGCCACCGGTTCCCTGGAAGGACAGCACTTCCGGAAGACGGGGAAACTCGTGTCTCTCTCAGAACAGAACCTGGTCGACTGTTCCAGGAATGGTAGGTGCCAGAATACAATCTGGTCGACTGTTCGAGGGATGGTAGGTGCCAGAACAGAACCTGGTCGCCTGTCTGGGAATGGTAGGTGTCAGAACACAACCTAGTCCACTGTTCCAAGAATGGTAGATGCCACAACACAATCTGGTCGACTGTTCGAGGCATGGTAGGTGCCAGAACACAATCTGATCGATTGTTCCAAGAATGGTAGGCCACAAAACACAATCTGGTCGCCTGTCCAGGAATGGTAGGTGTCAGAACTGAACCTGGTCGACTGTTCCAGGAATGGTGCGTGTCAGAACACAATCTGGTCGAATGTTCCAGGAATGGTGCGTGTCAGAACACAATCTGGTCGCCTGTCCAGGTATGGTAGGTGTCAGAACTGAACCTGGTCGACTGTTCCAGGTATGGTAGATGCGAGAACACAATCTGGTCGACTGTTCCAGGCATGGTAGGTGCCAGAACACAATCTGATCGATTGTTCCAAGAATGGTAGGTCACAAAACACAATCTGGTCGCCTGTCCAGGAATGGTAGGTGTCAGAACTGAACCTGGTCGACTGTTCCAGGAATGGTGCGTGTCAGAACACAATCTGGTCGAATTTTCCAGGAATGGTGCGTGTCAGAACACAATCTGGTCGAATGTTCCAGGAATGGTGCGTGTCAGAACGCAACCTGGTCGATTGTTCCATGTATGGTAGGTTCAGAAAGTAATCACATCTTTTTGCCCGTGAAAATCACTGGCATTCCAATATTCGTATCGTAACTGAGTGAGAGTTATTTCACCATAATTATGCTGACTATAGTTTTGTAAAATACTAAAAAAAACCTTGAAGAAAGTGACACAAAGAGAGTAAGCAGAAAAAGCATAATTTCATATCCATAACATACGATTAATCGACTTCAGTAATAAGCATTTAAATAATCAGTTGATCACACCACTGACAAGCAGTCTGTATTACTAATTAAGGTAATCTTGGATGTGATGGAGGGCACATGGCGTTGGCATACGATTACATTCGTCAGAATGATGGCATAGACACGGAGGAGTCCTACCCGTACGTAGCCAAGGTGAGAGGCAGTTGATATGATCGTGATAATAAAAGTTCAATTTTAAATTATATGTGTCATAGAACAGTTCAAGGAATTGATGCTGTACAAGCTGATGTGTGCATTGTATTCCTCGTTATCATTTAGAAGTTTTATAACCCCGCATCACCCCTGTTTTCTCCCTTGGCACGAGAGGCAAAGTCGTCTAAGGCGCTACTATTCGCTGTGCAGGGTTGCGCCCCTTTGGCACTCCTACGTTTGTGAAATCGAATTCGTGTTCGCTGCGATTATGTTTCTAGATTTGTCAACATCTAGCCGTGCTCGGGGGTTTCACCAAAGTGCTAAATGTCCAAGGGATGCTTCCCTTCGGAGTTTTCCCCGCACATTAAGCTGACACGCCGTTATATATTGGAATACTATTCAATGTGGCGTTAAACCCAACTCCCTCACTCACACACTGTTTTCTCCCATACTTATTCCTTGTAGTAAAACGTCAATCCAAGTAATTTTCATTTGTGTGTCTTACAGATTTCATCAAAGGAATGACCAGGTCACCCCAACAAACTATATTATACAATTTTCAAGTTGTTCAGGTCTAATACACTTCCCACTTCATTAACAGCAAGGAACCTGCAAGTTCAGCCGAGACAATGTGGGAGCAACTGATACCGGTTTTGCTGCTGTTATATCGGAGTCTGAGGATGCCCTGAAGAGTGCAGTGGCCTTAGAGGGGCCCATCTCTATAGGCCTGGACTCAGCACCAATGACCTTCATGCTGTACAAGAGCGGCGTCTACAGCTCCCCTGAATGCAGCAGCAACATCCTCAACCACGCTGTCACTGTCGTGGGCTACGGCACACAGGACAACCAAGAGTACTGGCTCCTGAAGAACAGGTACACACATTTTAACAGTATTCCAGTTATAGCATGGCGTGTCAGTTTAATGTGGGAGGAAAGCCCGAAGTGATGCAGGTCTCAGGCGTTTACCACTTTGGTGACTCCCACGAGCGTATGGTGCTGACAAACGCATCCGGTATGATGTTTGGGTGAACGCATCAGGTTAGGTGCGTTGATGAATTTTGTTTTAGCCAGGGCGTCAGGTAAGATGTGCGAATAACGCACCAGATAAGATATCTGACCGCTTAACGTGAAATTTGTCAGTTTAAACATCAGTGAGTGAGTGAGTTGGCTTAAACGTCGCTTTGAACAGTGTTCCAGTTACATCACACCCTCTCACCTTAATGTGAGGAAAAACACGAAATTATACAGGTCTTAGACATTTACCACTTTGGTGAAACCCACGAACACGGATATGGTGCTGACAAACCTAGAAATAAAATTGGGGAACATTGGGATTTGATCAAATGTTTATGGCGTGCCAAGAGTATGCAACTAGACGACTGGGCCACCCGTATCCCCTCAAGTAAGGACTGTTTGACGAATAGTAAACTATATGTACATTGTAGACCTGAACGCTGATCTTTCGACGTTACAGTGTCATTCTGCATTAATTCAAAACGCAAATGTGGTCAGAATGACATATGACTGGGTCAACATATCTGTCTTCCAGTTGGAGCACCACGTGGGGAGAGGAGGGATATGTGCTCATGGCCCGTAACGATGGCAACATGTGCGGGGTGGCCACGGATGGAACCCTACCCATTGTGTAGATACCGTGACGACATCCAACGTTATGAGACGGCGTCGATATTCCATGACGTTACAACTGTACAATGCGTTTATGTAATACAATTTTGAAAATGTACATCTAAGTTGAATGACAAGTAACTAAAGTGTATATAGACTGGTGCCAATAAAGTATATCTGAGACGTGATAATAAGCAGTGTTTGCGTACAGTACGTAACTGTCACATTAGAGCGTGCATTGTTAATTTGTGTTGTTCGTGAAACATCATCGTGAAATTTGTTTGTTTATTGTTTAACGCTGCACTCAGCAATATTCCAGCTATATGACGGTGGTCTGTAAATAATCGAGTCTGGACCAGACAATCCAGTGATCGACATCATGAGCATCGATCTACGCAATTGAGACACGATGAGCGAGTCAGACCACCCGATCCCGTTAGACGCCTCTTACGACAAGCATAGTCGCCTGTTAAGGGAAGCATGGCCATGGGTTGCTGAAGATCAATTCTAACTCGGATCTTCACGGGTTCATCAAGAGAAGCAAGAACCTTACAGGAAACGGAACTATCACAATGTCCCCCTAGGCCTTGACAAGAATGAAAAACACAAGGAGAAGGGAGACAACCTGAAAATCTCTAGACGATTGGTGAGTGAGCGAGTTGGGTTTAACGCGGCGAGTCAGCTTCATGTTGGAGGAAAGCCCAAAGTGATGCAGGTCTTAGACGTTTACCACTGTGGTGAAACCCACGAGCATGGGGCTGACATAGCCAGAAACATATTCGGGGCGAACTGGAATTCAAATGCACGATCATAGGTTTCTGGTGGAGCCAAAAGTCATGATCACAACTCGTGTTAAATGACACGGCCATCCGTGTCCACTTTGTAAGACGTGTTCAGGGGAGGGGCGGTTGATTTCACAATACAGGCGAACTTAAACATTACACTTCGAGGCATTAAACGTAAAACACATCTACAAAAATAATATGACCCTTCTACTTTTTGATCACCTGATGACATTTATTAGGATGCACATAACGTATTCAACATTGTCATTGCGTGAGTTATTGTGAGTGAGACAGCATATATACTACTCAATAGAAGCTAAAGAACACCTGATTCTTTCGTATAACAATAATTAATAATTATAGAATGGTTGGTTGGTTGGTTTGTTGTTTAACGCCACACTCAGCAATATTCCAGCTATATGACGGCGGTCTGTAAATAGTCGAGTCTGGACCAGACAATCCAGTGATCGACATGGAATGGAGAATTTGGATTTCTTTAACTTCTTTTGAGTAGTATATAACGGACTGTCTATTCCATATTAGTGGAAAGCCCACATGGCACACATTGCAGGTGTGTTCCGTCTGATAAACCAAGTGCAGACAAATCAAGTGCGAATATGAGATTTACTTTGACGTCCATGTACGTGGTCCATACAAAACAATATGGCAACCTACGTTGATGCTGTTTTATTGTCACGCTTGGAAAGATTGATATGTATCGATTTTGTTGTATATTTTTAATATTCTCGACGCAGTCAAATACCCAAGTAAGTACTTCGTGGTTGATTGTAGAAAAAATATATTCGATGAGCGTTACTTCTCTTCGGCAATATACCGTTCTCAAATTACAAACTGAGTACATTTCAATACAAACAGCCACTATATAGATTCTAGCGTTCTAAAGTAATGCTACTTTTATTACATATCTTCTCCATCTAGTTCCAAACATTGAGAACTACGATGTATCTGACACAAACCCTACCTGTCTACCTCCATCCTGATGCATCCTGTTTATACCTGGTACTGGTATATACCCGAAAAACATCTGTAGGTTTGAATGAAAACTGGAAACAATATACATAATCCCGAGAAGATCCGGGTTAGAATTAATCTTCAGCAACCCATGCTTGCCGTAAGAGGTGACTAACGGGATCGTGTGGTCAGGGTCGTTAACTTGGTTGATGCATGTCATCGTATCCCAATTGCGTAGATCGATGCTCATGAAGATTTGTCAATCACTGGATTGTCAGGTCCAGACCCGATTATTTACAGACCGCCGTCATATAGCTGGAATATTGCTGAGTGCAGCGTTAAACAACAATCAAACAAAACACAAAATATATGCACAAATTACAACTTCTAGACGTCTTAAACCAGGGCCCCCTTCCGCCCTGCCCTAACTGTAATACTAAATCAAATACTACAGTGCGGCATTTAACAACAAACAAACAAACAAACAAGAAAGAATATACAATTGATGGAGAGTTTGCTCCGGTACACATTGTCCATTGTATTGCTTTGTTACCCGATATTTCAATCCACAAACAGTACTTACAGTTGATGTATTTCCAACTTCTATGAAAGAAGCACGAGATTTATACATGATCTACATATTTTATGGATAAGAGATTAGTAAACATCTGTTCCTCCGCACAATCAGTTAAGGTTTCGTGTCCAGTGAACACGGCGGAGTGTGGCTGACACCAGGTGATACAGTTGTCACTACATGCCAACGGTCGTTCCGGGACAATAGTTATTCGTTGATGTTCTTCAGATACCATTACCACGACAGAAGAGGACGGGGAACAAAACTACAAACTCTAATACCATCGTCGGTGTGGGTTGGATCCATACACTGAGAACTTCTGTTGTTTGTTCTCTATCCAAATACCTGGTGAGTAGACCACACAGGCAACCATATTATTTTTGTAAATTTATGACAATCAAAATATTGATTTGGTTTCTAAAAAAGATTTCAGTCTGAAACATTTTGTATTTTCTCAATCAAAGGTTGATTTGACGTATTCTCTTTATAAGTTGGTTGGGAAGGTCGGGGGATCGATCCCCGGCCACGTCATACCAAAAGATGGTACTTGTTTTTACCCTGTCTGGCGCTCGGCATTCAGGGGCTAAAACAAGGACAAGGGTTCAGTATACTGTGTCTGAGTGGGTTATTCAAGTTAAACTGCGGCTTGGTATCTCAATGGGCTAGCCCTATAGAATCGGCCTTAGTCCGAACTTGTACAAGCAGCCACGCACACACACACACCGGGCATGACCGTTAAGTGCAATAACGCGACGTTAAACCCAAATTCAGACCCCACTTCGCCCCTTGTTAACAAAAAGCTGAAGCACAACGGACGTGTTTACTCAAAAACTAATGATCAAATGGTTATATGCTTCTCTAATCACGTACTTGACTGGTGGATATCAGGACGTCAACAACAGCCGAGCGGCAGTAGTCATTTCAATAACTTACGTGCTAAGATGCATCATGCTTCTGATTGGTTTGATTTGAAAATGACCTTTTTGGGTATTGGCAGTTTATGAACGGTTTGGTTTTATGGCTATTTAACTTATTAATTCAATGAATGATTTAATTATTATATCTAGCCTCATCTGACAACACTGATCGGCTCTGGACTCTTTGGGGCGTTCGGAGTGGTTAGTGGTTAAAGCGTTCGATTCAAGACATGGGTATAATTTGTGAAGCCCATTTCTGGTATCCCCCGCCGTAATATTGCTGGAATATTGCTAAGTGTGGCGTAAAATTATACTCATTCATTTACTCTGGTATTTTACAGATGTTGCGTTTGGGCGTGCTGCTCTCACTTTTGGTGTCCATCAGCTGTTCGCGGATCGATCTCGACCAGGACTGGGAACGCTTTAAGTCGCAACACCAGAAAGCGTACATCAGTGACGTGGACGCCGCCAATAGGTGAGCACTAGCCATCAGTTTGATACATCTTCGAGTGGACATACTTGCACGTTCCAAACGACCTAACATCCATGTTGTCCTCTTAGTCGGGGATAAAGCCTCTGACTATTGCTGATATATCATTCCCAGGATTCAAAATATGCATATATCTTTTAAAATTATTCTTTACGTATTAGTTTTAAACCCAACCATCTTAGCAACATAATATGTTTTGCGAGTGCGTGCTTCAGGCGAACACGTGTTCCTACTATGGAATCCTTGTCGCATTGTCGCCCTTCCAAAAACACGCAAAAAGTGTCTAAATTAACCAAATTTGCCATTTGTCGCATTGTCGCCCCATCAAAAATGTGAAAAAATGGCGTTAAAATGCGCGACAACGCGGCAGTGCGGCATTTTGATAACGCCGCATTGTCGCGCTTTGGTAAAATAAAAAAGATTGTTCAAAGCGCGACAATGTGACAACGCATTGTCGCGCTTTGGTTAATTTTGACACTTTTTGCTTGTTTTTGGAAGGGCGGCGATGCAACAATGCGACAACGCGACACTGTCCCTTCCTGGATTCTGTACGTTCCACATGTCGTGTGTATGTGTGTTTCAAGCAACCATGTGTCGTATGTGTATGCTGGTTTCAGACGAGCCTTATGGGAAGACAACGTTGGAGTGATAGAAAGCCACAACCTGGAGGCGGACCTGGGGCAGCACACCTACAGACTCGGACAAAACAGATATACTGACATGGTAAGATTCACGATCTCAAGCTCAAAGTGCATACTGTTTGAACTAAGATAATTGTAAGATTGGAAAAATATTATACAGAATGATATATATGACTAGGATACAGCCATGTGGTGGTACACATTTACCAATAGAACTCACAACCAGTGAGTGGGTTGTTTTAACACCGCTTTGAACAGTATTTCGGTTACATTGTGAAGTTAAGATGTAGCAGTATCCGGCTAGTGGAATAAAACCTGACGCGGGACGCATAAAATCCCATGTACCCCGAATTTGTCTTACCGAAATGTTTTAATATGACACGGTAAAAGGATATTAAAAACAAATTCAAGTTAAAGAAAAAAACTGTTCGATATAGAGCAGAGGTTAGCTTGTGCTGTGTCAAGGGACTTCATTGACTCGGAAAATGAGGGTGGCTTTTTGCTTCGAAGCGGTGTATAAGGGATTTATTCTGCCTCTCAGGCATCCACGTGCAACCTGACTTTATCAAGATCACATGGACCAATCAGATCTCATCATTCTGACATGGAGGTGCGATAACACGGCTTGTCAGCTTCATCATGTGAGGGGAAAGTCCGAGACGTTCATGCATGTTGTATAGTGCTGCACATTCAAAAAATCATAATAATTGTGAATTGTGAAACCCGCGATCAAAGGATTCTGACACGCCGAAGGGAGGTTACTCTTCACAGCGAACTTTTCTTACAACCTCCTGTCAATGTGGTGTTATAAAACAAGGCACCATATATATATGTCCACAACAAACTTCTGTTGCAGTCTCACGAGGAGTTTCTACAACTGATGACCGGTTATAAGCAGTTGGGAACTCGAGACGATCCGTCGCCGCTTGTCCTGAATGTAAGCTCCGCGGATCTACCGGACACAGTGGACTGGCGGAAAGATGGATACGTCACGGATGTCAAGGATCAGGTGAGTGTGTGAATGAGTGAGGGAGTGAGTGAGTGAGTGAGTGGGAGGGTGGATTGGTGGGTGGGTGGGTGGGTGAGTGAGTGAGTGATAGAGTGAGTGAGTGAGTGAGTGAGTATGGTTTAACGCCGCTTTTAGCAATATTCCAGCAATATCACAGCGGAGGACACTTGAAATGGGCTTCACACATTGTACCCATGTCGGGAATCGAGCCCGGGTCTTCGGGGTGATGAGCGAACGCTTTAACCACTAGGCTACCCGACCGCCCCTCAAGTCAGTCAGAACCTGAATAGTGGCTTAATTTTGAATCCATATAAATCGTGAGTATCATGTTATCAAGATATGCTTGTTACTGTGTCTGGATACAGTTAAAAACACCACTGTGGGGTGCGGTATAGCACGGGGTACACTGTATTTAAGAAATACACGACGAGTGGGATTTGTTTATTGTACAATAAAACACTGCAGGGAGAATAAACCACTCGGCGCGCGTCCCTCATGGTTTGTTTTCCCTGCAGTGTTTTATTGTACTTTAAGGATGATGGTAAAATGTAAAAGCTTTAAAATATATTTACCCTTTTTTTAATGATGACTCCCTCAATAAAATCCGACCTCGGCAATGTATGACAAGTCCATTTTATGCACAGGTGGGTTTGGTATTGGCTCTTTCCCGCACATTTTCGCAATCCTCACGTCAATTATTTGTACCTTTTTTCCTAATATAAATATCTCCATCTTTTGGATGCGATCGTTCGGCCACAGCGTTTATCTGCGTTGCTCAGCTCTATCAAATGTGAACAACTCACTAGACACTTTGCTCTCAAACATAACGTCGTCCAATATACGACGTCATCAAGTTGCGAGCGCACGTACGAATCTCCAGGAATGACGTCATGACAGAACAATGTCTTATCGTGAAATAAACCACGATTCGTTCTTCATTGTTCTTTGCGATATATCGCATAGCTGTGTTATATTTCTGTATATAGCTCGATGTATACATACTCCATGTGTATATGTGTATACAGACCACGTCTAACTGTATATACAGATTACATGTGTGTCGGTGTATATAGATGACATGTGTGACGGTGTATATAGATGACATTTGTGACGGTGTATATAGATTAACTGTGTGACGGTGTATATAGATGACATGTGTGACGGTGTATATAGCTGACATGTGTGACGGTGTATAAAGATTAACTGTGTGACGGTGTATAAAGATTACATGTGTGACGGTGTATATAGATTACATGTGTGTCAGTGTATATAGACTCCGTGTGTGTGTAATAGGGTGCGTGTGGGTCGTGCTGGGCGTTCTCTGCCGCCTGTTCTCTAGAAGGACAGCACTACCGGAAGACAGGGCGACTCGTGTCCCTATCGGAACAGAACCTTGTGGACTGTGCACGGAATGGTGGGTACTATGCAGTGCCACTCACGCAGTGTACCAAATCTTGTAACGTCTTATAGTTTATATACACTCTTATCTTATATGTCAGTGACCGAAAATGTTTCATATGAAATCATTCTTTGAAAAAACAGTGTTATCAAATATAACATCAACGACAGAGAAAAAACAGTCTTGATAGTTGTCGAAACGACCCGTGAAGATCCGGGGTAGAATAGGTCTTCAGAAAGTCATACTTGCCATGCAAGGCAACTATGCTTGTCGTAAGAGGCGACCAACGGGATCGGGTGGTCAGGCTCGCTGACTTGGTTGATGCATGTCATCGATCCCCATTGCGTGGATTGATTCTCATGATATCAATCACTGGATTATCTGGTCCAGACTCGATTATTTACAGACCGCCGTCATATAGATGGAACATTGCTGAGTGTGACGTAACACACAAAAAAGGTTACCTAGGAAGCACAGGAAAGCAACACATTTGGGACACATGACAACAACTCTTGTGGACCTGTCCCAAAACCTACATTATTTGTTTGTTTTGTTTGTTTGTTGTTTTGACGTGATTGACGTCATGAGCATCGATCAACGCGACTGTGATACGATGAATGCACCAACCAAGTCAGCAAGCCTAACCACCCGATCCCGTTAGTTGCTCCTTACGACAAGCGCAGTCGCCTACATTAACATCATCCTTTTGTTTCATTATAAAGGACAAAGTATAATATTTTCCTCCACAACATTCAACGACTAACAACCATCTATATTAATTAAGGTAATTACGGATGTGAAGGAGGATACATGGAGTTGGCATTCGATTACATTCGTCAAAATAAAGGCATAGACACAGAGGAGTCCTACCCGTACGTAGCCAAGGTGAGAGGCAATTGATAGAATCGGGATAATTGAGCCGAAGGTGAGGTGAGTGAGTTTTGTTTAACGCCGCTTTTAGCAATAGTCCATCAATATCACAGCGGGGGACGCCAGAAATGGGCTTCACACATTGAAACCATTTGGGGAATCAACCCGGGCTTTCTGCGTGACGAACGAACGCTTTATCCACTAGGCTACCTCATCGCGCCGAGACTGAGTAGTGTATTGGAGATATCCTTTACACATATTTGCAAATATTTAGTTATATATAAGCAGGAGTTAAAGTAACAATGTTCATTTCCTCAACTATTGTGATGTATTTCAGTATCAAGCCTTACAGCCTTATCCAGGGTAGAGTCTTCATTGCTGCCGGATATTTACTAAATAAAATTTGAATTTAATATCTGGGTCAAGATTTTAACAACTAAATGAACTGTAAAGATTTAACAATGAACAAACAGTCATCTTCTCCGAGGCAAGGGAGTTAACTGGCTATAAAAGTCCGGTTTTCAGAAACTGGACTTTTACTGTCGGTTAGCCCCCTTGCCTCGGGAAGAGATAAATTGTATGCTTTAGATACGCCAAATCCCGCCGATTAATATTCTGGGAGGCCTGAGAATTTGTAGCTTCTTTCTGTGACTGCTTTTTTCTCTAAAAGAAGGTAGCTGTGTGGTTGAAATAATGCAGATGCGACAATAAATTTTAACTCACTCACTCACTCACTTTCTAAAAAGGTTGGTTGGTTCGATGTTTTACGCCGCACTTAGCAATATTCCATCTAAGTCAAGTCAGCGAGCCTGACCAACCGATCCCGTTAGCCGCCCCTTACGACAAGCATCTTCGCCTTTAAGGGCAAGCATGGGTTGCTGAAGCCCTATTCTACCCCGGATCTTCACGGGTCCTCTCTAAAAGGAGGAACCAGGACCAATTATGAGGAAGCACAACCAACTTGTGTCAGGACATCAACCACGTCCAGTAATTAATTGCTGATTATTTTGTATAACCCGATTCTTTTGAATGATTTTCGGGAACAAATTAAATTTATTTTTTACGAAATATATCCCTTTCTTTTGAATAAAAACGTACGTTCAGTCACATTTGCGGGTCACATCTTCGTGGCAAAGACGCTTCATCGCTACTAACAAAACAGTTTCTGGCTTAGTTCGATATGTATCCCCATGACGTCATACTTTTGTTTGCATCAATTGGAATACGAAAGTAACTTCTCGAGGCGAGCAATTTACGTAGCATCATTTCATCCTGAAATTTAGTCACGGTATGGCTGAAATATTGCCGATGTGACGCTAAATATTAACTCACTCATCCTGAAATTATGAGGTCACGGCAATAAATTACCAAATAATGTAATAACCAAATATCGTCCCACCCACAGCAAAAAGATTGCAACTTCAGCCAGGAGAATGTAGGCGCGACCGATGCCGGCTTTGCTGTTGTCATATCCGAGTCTGAAGATGCCCTTAAGAGTGCGGTGGCCTTAGAGGGACCCATCTCTGTGGGTATCGACGCCTCCTCAAGATCCTTTATGCTGTACAAGAGCGGCATCTTCAGCTCCTCTAAATGCAGCAGCACCAAACTCAACCATGCTGTGACTGTGGTGGGCTACGGCGCACAGAAAAAACAAGAGTACTGGCTGCTTAAGAACAGGTACACATGTACACATTGGTCACAGGCTAGCTGTTGCAGTACTGCTTTAGTAATCTTCCTGAGGCAAGGGGGTTAACTGACTATTAAAGTCCAGTTTCCTTCCTTGCCGAACTAAGGCTGGAATTATGGAGTTACATTTTGGCTGGACTAACGAGTCTATGCATGGTCCATCAAAATTGCGTAACGAAATCGACATCCGGTTCGTTAAATGCCGTGCAGATTTCGGTCGATTGCAGGATTTGCAAAGCATGTGTACCGACAACTCGGCCTCAAGAGATATTTTCAAAATCTTTCACGTTTTAATCAAGGATCGCACGTGATTTGATGCACTTTGCGAAGTAAGACCCGTTTTATTACAATATAGATCTTGCTTGTCGATCAGATCGTGCTGCCTGGGCAACGCCATTTTGTTTGAAGGAAATGCAAGTGATATGAGACGTCGAACCTGATTGATCAATAGGAGGGACATAGAAGGGACATAACCGTTATGGTCACTGATGGCGCAACGAACGAACCCAGAAATTCCAGCCTAGTTCGGCAAGGGTGAAAAAAGGGTTTTAACAGTCGGTCCCTTGTCCCGGGGAGATGTGGTTTAGTGAGAAAACACATTTGGCAAGGTGGGTGAGTGAATCAGGTTATGTTGGTGTGCACGCACCAGGTAAGATGATTGTGTGATAAGGTAATTGAGTGAACGCGTTAGGGAAGATATGTGAGTAAATGCATTACGCAGGTAAACTGCAGGTACACCTTTGTGTGAGGTGAAAGGAGAGATGGAAACCTGATCAAGATCGTATGAAGAAAGGTACCATGATGACACATAACAAAGTAGGTTTCGCGTGGAAGGTCTTCCTCCAACTGTCATCAGTTGCCTCTACAACGATCTCTTATCTGTAAGTACGAAAGCTATACTCTTTTTTTAACTTACGTGTAAGCAGACACCATAGGTTAATCCAACTGATTTACTCACTGGACACTCTAGTTCTTTTAGCATAAAATGTGACCACATCAACATATCTGTCTTCCAGCTGGAGCACCACTTGGGGCGAGGACGGATATGTGTTCATGGCCCGTAACGATGGCAACATGTGTGGGATTGCCACCGAGGGAATCCTGCCTCTTGTGTAGATACTGTGACGACATCTGACGTCGTGAAACGGTGTTGTCATGTAATGTTTCAACTGACGGTCTCATGTATGTTATGAAATACTATTCGTAAACGTACTCACTAGCTTTTGTTTGTTTGTGGTTGTGTGACTGTAAATAATCGAATGAGTGAGTGAGTGAGTACGGTTTTACGCCGCTTTTAGCAATATTCCAGCAATATCACGGCGGGGGACACCAGAAATGGGCTTCACACACTGTACCCATGTCGGGAATCGAACCCGGGTCTTTGGCGTGACGAGCGAATGCTTTAACCACTAGGCTACCCGACCGCCCGTAAATAATCGAGACTGGATCAGACAGTCCAGTGATTGACATCATGAGCATCGATCTACGCAATTGGGATACGATGTCATCGATGTCATCGATCCTTACCACCCAATCCCGTTCGTGGCCTCTTACAACAAGCATGGGTTGCTGAAAACCAATTTTAACCCGGATAATGACACTCAGTAATATTCCAATTATATGTTGCCCGCCTGTAAATATCTAGTCTGGACCAGACAAACCAGTGACTGATATTATTTGCCACTTAGCACCCAGTCGGGTTACGCTAACGCGCAATCAACCCGACCAGGATAGGTATGTTGCTGGGGACCTAATCACTAGAAAGCTTGCTGGGTATGCACAATGCGCTTTCGAGTAGATCATGTTACTTTTCGTAAAAAGGCAATATTAAGAAAACTCATAACCTGTACATCATACTTTAAAACCGAACATGTGTAAGGGGTCACTGTTTGTTTGTTTGTTTGTTTTGTTTGTTGTTTAATTCCAACTTTGCGACGGCGGTCTGTAAATAATCGAGTCTGAACCAGACAATCCAGTGATTGATAGCATGAACATCGAACTACACAACTGGGATACGATGACATGTATCAACCAAGTCAACGAGCCTGACTACCCGATCCCGTTAGTCGCCTCTTACGACAAGCATAGTCGTCTTTTACGGCAAGCATGGGTTGCTTAAGACCTATTCTAATCCGGATCTTCATGGGTCAAACTGGTCATTGAAAACTCTTAATTGAACACATTTTTCTCAATAATGAAAGATATGACAAAATAGACATCACTCATTATTGATAGTGACAGTAAAGAGTGATTTGTCATTTGTCGATGCATTTGTCATTTGTTTAATGCATTCGTTTGGTGGAATACAGTGCTTCATACTAACTACCTTTAAGTTTAATTATATGAAATATGCAACCTAAACAACTCCCATGTGAACTTGATTTTGATAAAAGGGAAATACTTATGTTACACTTATATGTAATGGTTGGCAGGACACTGCAAACACGAAAACTTGTTTTTTTTCGTATATGGTCATTGGACGGAAAAACGACTAAAAGTTCATTAAAATTGATTAATTGGTGCGCTTCTAGAAAGTGTGCAGAAAAGGGTCGAGTTTGTCAAGCGTAAAATGGACGGAAAAACGATGCTTCTTGCTCCGCCTTGTACAACTGTTAACGGCCAATCAGATGGCGCTGGTCCCCCGACGCACGTGATTCCTAAGGCTTCCTTTCGAAAGCTTTAGGTTTCGTATTTCTGGCATGCCTTGCTCTAGTATCTGTCGCGCGGAGTGCAGCGAGATTTGCTGATAAGCCAGTTTTAGGATATGTAACATGTTAATGGAATTCAGGCACGCGCCAAGAAGTCAAACCATACAATGTTACCAAGTTTATTGTGGTAACATATCCCTCGGCTATGAACAGTTACCCCTATCGGATAATGGGTTGTGTTTCATTTGGTTATAATAATAACTAATTTTTTAATGTGAAGTTTACAAGATATACGGCTAGGACGAGAGGTTGGTTACAATGACGTTCTTCACGTGACTGTATTCTTGAAATGGCGTAAACACTGACTACTTCCACATTCCTGGGGGTAACCCTTGGAATTCCCTGGTACGAATTCATACAGAAGCGTGGTTGCATGCCCGTTTAAGGATACCCTCGCTACAACCCATCCCAGAGAAAAAACAAACGAAAAAAACATTCAAACTATCGTAGTGACAATCTACAGCAATCTTTAAAATTTACCTTAGTATCTATTTGACACATCTTTACAATCACCTTTCAACGATCGGCCAATTGATCAGTGATGACAAAGGCTTGAAATAGCCACAGGTTAATTAACAACTTCGGGAATATCTCCCGTCACGTTTATCGTGTCGGCCATTTTGACGTATTGTACTTGATGTAAATGTAATACGACGCTCTGTCATTGTAATTGACTTACTGAGGTAATTCTGAATCTTCTCATCTAATGAGGATATTGTTTGGAATATATTTCTTGTAAACATACTAAAACATGGGGGCCATTTTGACGTATTGTACTTGATGTAAATGTAATACGACGCTCTGTCATTGTAATTGACTTACTGAGGTAATTCTGAATCTTCTCATCTAATGAGGATATTGTTTGGAATATATTTCTTGTAAACATACTAAAACATGGGGGGGGGGGGACTATTTTATTCCGGGATGGCCTATTAAAGTTAGCAGTAAGTCAAGGCACCATGCGTGTACAGGTTACACACAACCAAATGTTTTCCCATATACTTCTATAGTAACGTTATGATTTTTTTTTAAATAACTAAGCATTCAACAGCTATTACCTGTACGTGTGTGCACAGTTTGGCCTTAGAGCAGCAATAAAAAAAAAAAAAATGACTAGCTTACCCAGCTCCTTTTCCGAGTACCGGAAGCTAAACACACCACCCCCAGTTTCGCACCAAATGTCACCTACTTGAAAATAGCTGTGGTCACATTCAGCATAAGTCATCATGTTAAAAAAGACAGTACTAAATATAGAAGAACATGGTCAGTTTTAATAACTGGATGGATGTACATTTGAAAGACATAAAAATCTTACAGAATATCCTCCAATCACAGCCTGCAGATATCTCTCGATCTGCACTGAAGGCTCCCTACGAAAACCGCACTCTCCAAACTGGTACTGATTTGGTGTAGTAGAACCTGTAGACAAATCAGAATATATTTGCACTTGTCAAATCTGTGATTTATATATTGTATATATATGTAGCTTCTCAGAAAAAAAATGGAAATTGGATTAAACTTCACTACTTGTTCCTATCCAGCATGTCTATATGGCACCAGAATACATAGTTTTGATGCACAGAAAGAGTTGTGAGAGTTTAATGGTGTACACTTCATCAATGTTTTACAAAAGGTATTTCTGTATTAATAAAGAAGTTTTTACCTTCATGCACTGACCATGGAAGTTCATTTATATTTCATAAAAGATGGTGGTCAGGGGTCAATTCTATAAATGATTGAGGCTGCATAGATCATATCACCCTAAAATATTTTTTCGACTAAAAAAATTGAACAAATCTTTAAACCTCAAAACCAGTTACAATACATATTTAAAATTGAGTAGTGGTCTGTTGTTTGCCTTCCTTTGCTGACATCATCAGAACATAGCAGAGTCTGCTACATTCATGGAATATGGTTTTGACACTCATGACATGATGCGATTGATATTGTTTGAGATTGCTCGAACTTACACCATCCATTGTTTATATAATTAAACACTCAAATGGCTGTCAGCATTTGGTAAATCATCTATGGAGGGGCTATCACAAATGTTTGTGCTTTCATATACTCCAAAAATCAAAAGTATAATCCTCTATGATATAGGCTGATGACATAAGTACACATGGAAAGGAATCAGAAAAAAATCTCAAAATTGGACAGAGAGCATGGAATTCAGGCCAACAATAAGCAAGGGACACATTAAGCAGCTTTAAAGTCATCATATATGTAAGGCTGGATAATGAACTTTACCAGAAAATAGGAAGTAAAGGGGTGCATTGTTAACAGCAATCTCAAATGCTGACCAGTGAACCATACCGCCTATTAAAGCCGAGAAATTGAAATGGACCCTCAAGTAGAAAAAAGCTTTTTGAAACCACAACATGGAAGGAAATTACACTTAACTCTATTGATTTATTTAGTTAAGACTTTAAAATACTCACAGGACATCAAACATTCTTACTGTTTAATGTTTCAAGGTGGCTAAACTTGCTTATTTCAGTTATTTGCCAGTTTCAATGAAACAAAGTTAAAATTCCATATAATTATGAAAATGTACAGCTTATCCTGACATAAATGTAATTCTCTTTATTCACAACTAACAGTGTCATGCAATACCAGCTTAAAATAGTGTTTCTCTCCAATAATTTATGGGTTTAAAGGGGAATGAAAGATACAATGCATTTTACTAAACAGGGGAGATAATTTAGTTTTGTCGAACACTATCACATTCTTTACAGATGATTTCAGAACCATAATGTTACATTCCAAAAGAGCCAGTGGATATTATTTTCATCTAAGCAGGTTCTGGGACTGGTGTATAGCCCTTACTTCATGTTTGCAAACTAAAAAACTGCACAGTGAGGCATTAAGGGAGCACTGTCAGAAATGTCTAGTGCATGAGGGTGATCTTATTATGGCACTTGATAGTGAGCAACAGAGGGGCCTCAAGTGGACTGGGGTTTTTAAATGTACTTACTGTACCTACATGTCCAAGTTCCACAACTTCTACAAGGTAATGAAGCGCAGCGAGGCAAAACAAGGGTTGTCGATCACACACTGCCAACACCGGACTTCGGATCAGCTTCTCCAAATGCCAAATTCGATGTCGAAACTCCTACTTCTTCTGCATGAGTGCACATATACCTCCCCAGTCAACATCAGGCATGTGAAAAGCTGAAAAAAGTGTTCAGACAATATCAAATGGCAAACCAGTTTGGATATAACAGCCAGGAGTCAGTTCTTGAGGGGACAAAATAATTATTTGAAAGTTATATGAGTGAAAAATAAGTCTGTTTTAAGAAACTTAATAGAAAAATAGCATCATTCATTCACACAAGAGCACCTAACAGAAAGACATATTGGTATGCTACATTGTTTACTATAAATAAGGGGATGTTTGACATATTCTGCTGTCAGCAGTGTACATGCTTCATATTCAAGATAACGGCATCGCGTAACTTGACTGGCAAGCGATTGACACAAGGCAGAAATTGT